AAATATTTTCAATTAATTTTAAAAGAAATCCTCTTCAAAAGCCTAATCGGCTACTTGAGTACTACTTGAGCCCAATAAGCTTCTATGAATATATACATACATATAAATTATATATCAATAGTTATTTGAGGTATATGCATATGAATATACATATATGCAGATATTTGTAGATATTATAATTTTATTTTAAAATAATGATATCAACTTTTAATGTAAGAATGTAAACTTATTGATTTTAAGAATTTAATTTTAAATAAAAATAAAATCATTAAAAAATAAATCAAATAAATTAAAAACAAAAACAAAATATTCCAGCTTGTATGTACATTATGAATATAAAATAAAAATGTACAAACATATCCTGATCTCCCATTTTCAATGAGTTCATGATCTATAATTATGAAACTATTTATGTATATGAACTTAAATTACGTCTACATACATTCCATTTCATCAAATAAGTTTTGATATTTTGATTTCTAAAGAACTTAGAATTTTATCAAGAATTTTATGTATTGTTACACAGTGAATACATATGTTAGTTAAAAGCAACAAATTCCAGAAATCGGATAATATAGGTTAATATGTCTGCAGGACTAGGACTAGGACTGTAAGCTTAGGAATTTATATTTATAAAATTCCACAGGGTTTGCTATTTTCACATTAAAGTTTATTTTAAACTTTAGAATTTCACTATAATTTAAAAATTTTATTTATTTTAAATGATCTGTATATTATATTATATTTTAATTAAATGCATTAAAATATTTTTTAGGAATTTTAGCATTTATCCAGTAGGTGTATCCATATGAATCGAAGTTCGATTTCCGAAACGAACTTTTCATCTATTGTGGCACGTTTTATGCATAATATTATTCAAAATACCAAATCGCACCTTGTTGTTAGATCAAAATGTCTCATGGTCAAAACACAGCACAGAATATAAGATTTAATTGATGGATCTTGTTGTAAATGAAACACAAATATTATATAATTTTTGAATGGCTATTCAAATCCATTCGCTTATTGGATTGTTGCTTTCTTTAGAGTTTTCACTTGCAAGTTAACGATTTGGGGGCGGGCTAGTATCGACTAGCGACTAACGACGACGAGCATAAGAAGGCGACTAATTGTCAGTTTCGGTTCGAAGTCTCTCGGCCGATATTGGCGACGATACCGTCAGAGGCGTCAGCGTCAAAGCGACAACCACAGAAGAAAAAAAAAATGCTCACTTAATTACAAACAAGCGACAAAAGGGCGCAAAAGACAACGTCAAACAATACACAGACACACACATGAGATACACACACACACACACACACACATGCACACTCTGAGCAGCCACAATGACACAAAGTGCCCAACTACTTGGCATACAATCACATGTGTGAGAGACCCTTACAGCAGCGTCTTGTTGCTGTTGTTGTTGTTATTGTTGTCGCACCCCCCTCACAGCAGCAACCACCACAAGCAGCAGCAACAACACAGACTGTACAGCAGTCAGGCAGACAGCCAGGCCGGCCGTCAGTCAGTCAGTCAGTCAGTTAGCCAACCAATGCGCTCCTCGCTCATTGTCTTGCAACCCCCTTGGCTCCATTCAACAACGCTCATTCATACGTAGCAGCAGCAGCAGCAGCAGCAACGGTGGCAGCAACTGCAGCGGCGGCAGCAGCAGCAGCAGTTTTTCAGTAGTTTTTATTTGTCACCCAATATCTTTACAGTTGGACACCAGATACAAGCGAGCCGGTTGCACAGCCCGGTCGGGCCCAGTGTCTGAGGGCAGAGGCGACCATTGATCGTCTGCTGCTTCCTTCGTTCCATTCTGTGTGGTTAAACATGTTTGCCTCTGCCGCTGCCACTGTGACAGTTCATCAAAGGCAGTCTGTCCCGCTCACACTCACACACACTCACACTCACACCTACCTTTGCTCGCTCGCTCACTCCTCTCAGCTAGCAACCCTCTCGGGCTGTGTGTATCTTGTATCTTTCTCATTTCTAGCGACCAATGACAATTGTATCTGTGCTGCGGAGCTCGACTCGGCTAAAATCCATCGATCGTTGCTCTTTCGCATAGTTACAATCAACCCGACAATTGTGAATTATTTATTGTCATTCGATATTTCGCTTTGTGGTTGTGTTTTCATTACAGAAAGCTAATAATAAGTAAGAAAAAAAATTATGAAACATTATTATTTTCACAGCGAATCGTTGCCATCGTTCGAGCTTAGTCTAGGCCTAGCAACAGAATCGTTTGCATTTACTACAGCTTTCCATTTCCCCAATTAACTTAAAATTCACAGGCATCCCATTTAACCTACAAAGAAAGGTAAGTCTGAGAGTAACCGACAATCTGATGCCCGTTACATAAATAAATATTTGAAGAGTTTATTGGTTATTCAAAAGTTGATCTCTTCTATTTAGTTCTCTGAATCTGCATTCAATATCTGATATTTAAATAATTCCATCTGACATATTCATTCAGTATGTTAGAGGATTGGGAAATACATACATAATATTCATTTACGATATTCGCAATTATGACGTAAACATAGTGTAATTAATTATAGCGCTTATAAGATATATATATATATATACAAGATATATATAAGAGATAAGATAAAATCGTTAAACAGAAATATTTTTTGAGTTAGGAATTTCTAGTTGAGTTTTTGTAAAATATCTAATCTTATT